TCATTTTCCAGATGCTTCTTCCTTTGGGGTTCATGAAATATGTATCAGAAAATATGAGTTTAACATGGACGAAATTCCATCTGTCATCAATAGCAATCAATCATTCATCGACATTTTGTTTCTCTTATGGCAGAGCAATATTATCAAAACAAAGCAAAAAACAGGTTCTGCTTATGTGAAAACCAAACAAGTGATTATGTAGGGTTATTAAGCACATTCATTTCTGACAGCAACCTTTAATTGACACTTATTCTTTCTACAGTGAATCTTTAAGTACATCCATCCCTCTTGCCACTTGTCTTAATGTCAAAGGTAAAAGAAGACACTTGTAAGGGTTCTACAGGTAAAAGACACATGTGTTAGTTGAGTTAAATGTTATCTGTGTATATATGGTTGTTATTCATAACATCTGGTTCAGGTTCTGTGTGTGCCTGAAGTTGACTATTTGGTAACATTTGGAAGCCTGTTGGAAGTTTGGTACATATGTATTGTGCAGAAGACATGGCTTAACGTTCGTCTATTAGTAAAAGATCTTTTAAAATAAAGAAATTCTATCAGTTATTTAGAGTTTAGGGTAAAGTTCACCAGTTGGGTTTAGGTTCACCTGTTTAGGTTTCTTGTACAGCTTTACAGGATTATGTTATATGAAAAACGCAAAAAGGTCTTTCTATGTAGTAACACATGTTGTTTTGGTGAACAGTTTTAGGAGTCGGGGGAAATTCCCAAAGTTAAAGATGGTCAACAGCTAATGTTCTGCATAAGTTACTCAACATAATCAGTTAATGACATGATAAAAGATTTGTCTGTAAATTAAGATTCTACAAATTTGAATGTTTTGAAGGAATCCCTTTTCTTTTAAAAGGTTTTTAAAACATATCTCACCTTTAAAAGATATTTAGTTTACATTGTTATACAAGTAACATGTATATAAGTTAAGCAACTTCCTTCAAATATTACTTATAGCAAAATAAGGAAATGTGGTATGATTGTCAATAGCGTCCAATGGATGTAACTATATGACATGATATTATACTGAATTAAAACTATTTACTGTTTTTCCATAGTCAAGGAAAAGTTTTCAATTTATTACTGAATCAATTCTATTATATTGTTTTTTAAATGACAATACTTAAGTTTTTTGCCACTTTTATTGCTAGAAATAAAACTAAGATATGAATTGAGTCTACATTATTTATTTATGTCCATCTTTTTTATTTCCTGGTTCTTTTATGAAGAATAATAAAAGGATCCTGGTATGTTTTATATGTTACTATGCGGGAAGAAAATTTGGAAGGAAATTCTGTGAAAAATATTTGGAACAGGATACTCGGTTGGAATTCAGTTTTATGGGTTTTTTCTTGGGAAAACAGTTATTTTTAGTTTTTATTGCCCTTTAACACTATAATAAGGTTTGAAACAAAAAAAGTATTATGTCAGTGCTCTCCTGCACAAAGTTTTACATCTTATAAACCTGAGTGAATCTAAATTTGGGAAAATTATCTTTCAATGAAATTGAAATTGTAAGTTTACATAATAGTAGATATTGGATATTGTTGTTCATGTCAAGATTGATAATAGATCATAATAGGGTTTTACATTTACAATCAGTTGACTCGAGCTGTTGGTACTTTTCCTTGACCATTCAGGCATATGTTTTCATTGTTGGACTTTTTTCTTGTAATATGTCAGTCTTGGGCTATTGTTTCTATTCCCCAAAATATTATGGCAGTCTTGGGCTATTGTTTCTATTCCCCAAAATATTATGGCAGTCTTGTGATTTTAATATTATGTCAGTCTTCTGATTATTGGTACTATTTCCAGTTAATTAAGACATCCTTTATTGGCCCTTTGAGAGTTCACAGTCCTTCATGTAAGTCTTCATTTTATTTGGTATTACACCCCTACTCCAGGAATGGGGCTATAGTCAATATGTTGAAAGAATTTAATAAAAAAAATGTACACATTTCTACGATACCACTGAACAGAATGACTTCATATTTGTACCAGCAGCTCAACAGTGATGAATTGTCACATGTAACATTTTCGGATCTGTCAGAGACACCTACTTCCTTTTTTGTCTTACTTTGAGTTACAAGTGGGTGTATGCTTAGCACAACAAACTCTGCATTCTTCTTATTCTGTCTTAGGACAAATTACCTGCTTTACCAAACCTTAGTCTTTTTCCTTTTTCTTGTATTCCATTATGATACTAAGTGGTGATAAATAAAGAATCAGTAAAAGATTAAACCCATCATCCTGTATGAGCATAGGACAAATCATGGTCAGTCTGAGACAGACAGATAAACTTTGAACTCAATTAAGCACCTGTATTTCATCTCTAGGCAACAGACTGGCAAGGTCACTCAAAATGTTTCAAATTGGTTTGTGTTGCTAACCCAACAAGCATGCAACATGGATTTAGATCAAAGACTGGTTGAATCTGAGTCAGAAATATTTATCCTCATGAAGTGACACATCGCCTAGTAGACAGTTACCGTTTGATCTATAGATATAAGAAGATGTGGTATGAGTGCCAATGAGACAACTCTCCATCCAAGTCAAAATTTATAAATGTAAACCATTATAGGTCAAAGTACGGTCTTCAACACGGAGCCTTGGCTCACACCGAACAGCAAGCTATAAAGGGCCCCAAAAATTACTAGTGTAAAACCATTCAAATGGGAAAACCAACGGTCTAATCCATATAAAAAACGAGAAACAAGAAACACTTATGAACCACATCAACAAACGACAACTACTGAACATCAGATTCCTGACGTAGGACAGGTGCAAACAAATGCAGCGGGTTTAAACGTTTTAATGGTACCAAACCTTCACCCTTTTTCTGAAACAATAGTGTAACATCACAACATAGAAAGACACACTGTAAAATATCAACTGAAATAGCTTAACTCAATCAAAGGACATATTAACACCAGTGAACATACACTGAACAAATAAATTTGACCTATGATACAAAGTAAATACAAAATAAATAAACTAAGGGAAGAACTAGCACATTAGAATGTTGGTTTAATACAAAGTAGGGTTCATATATGCTATTGTTCTTGATCTGAAGATGGTGGAGAAATAACTGGTTGAATATTCAATATCTACTAAATATATGCATATCATGAGGCTGACCAAATTTTTTTTAAACAGACAGGCATTTGTACATTTGACCTGAAATATTTCAGCCCTGAAACTTGGTTTCTGGCTGCTGTATCCCCTCCAAGCTCCCTTTGCCCATTGTGTCAGTCTGCAAAATAAATTAGAACCAGCAGGAGACTGACAGAGAATCGTTAAGACAGGTAGTTGAACAATTAGTCTGACATGTTAACTCTGTGTTTAAAATCACGGAAGAAATGCCAAGTACAATCACAAGATTGATCTAATGAGAAAAACACAAAGTCTAAATTCTCCAAATGTTTTTCTAACAATATATAATTAGATAAAAATATGGAGATTTCTTGTAAATCTTTTATCTGTAGTTTACAAATGTTGTGAAAGAAAATCTGTCACACAGAAAACATACATTTTCACTAATGATCTTGCACTTCTCTGATCCTGGTCTTAACTATGTTTTAATGTGTTATACCTTTGTACCTTTGCAAGAATTTGAACAGAAAATCAAGCTATTTTATGCTTTCATCAAATAAAGATGACTCATAAATATAGAACTTCAAGATCAAGTCTTTGTTGATTCTATTGGTCCTGCTTTAAAATAATTTAAATTGAATTTTATAAAACTTTACTCAAATCAGGCGGGCAGTTTTTTCCCTGCACTCCTACTGTGGGGGATATGGTGGTATTCTCCAACAGTCCATCTGTTCTTCTGTCCTCTGAAACACATCAATATTCAGAGACCACTTAAAAGAAAGCTTGCAGGTAACTTGGTAGGATAATTTGTCATCATGTTCTCTTTACCATACTGGACTCTCTTTTACATTTTACCATTTTCAAAGTTATGGGACTTTGACTATTTTTTTTTAAAGTATTTTTACAATGACACCTTGTGAATGCAACTCTCTGACACAATTTGTCAAAAACCTCTCAAAATTAGCAGGATTGTTTTCCGCCAAATAGATATGATCATATTGTATGGTCATTTTGAGTTGACCATTCTTATTTGAATTATGGGACTTTCATCATTTTTTTGACTATTGTACTACAATGACATCTTGTGAACTCATCTCCTCTGAGACATTTGCCAGAAAGCTCTCATAAACTACCTATTGTTTGCCATCGTATGTAATTGACTAGTTGGTACTGTCAATTTGGTTTGATGATTTCTATGGGAGTTATAGGACTTGAACCATATTTTTGACTATTGTACCACAATGACACATTGTGAAGGTAACTCCCCTGCGAGGCTGCGACAGTTTGACAAAAAGCTCTCATACTTTCTAGAATTGTTTGCCATCATGTGTAGTTGACCACACTATACTTTGATTTTGATTTGACCATTTTTATAGGACTTAGTCTTTTTTTATTATCCTACCGGGAATGACACCTTGTGAACACAACTTCTTTGAGACCCTTTGACAGAAAGTCGTCATACTTAGGATAGGATAGGGATGGATTGTTTGCCATTAGGTGTAATTATCCATTTTGTACCTTAATTATGATTCCACCATTTTATGGGAAAAATAGGACTTTTTCGACTATTGAAGAGCAATGACACCATGTTCTGTCTGTTAAATAACAGGAACAAATACTAAAGCTAGAAAAATCATTGTTCACAACATTTGATTGCTTGATTGACAATGGTTCAGTGAGGCAATGTTTAAACAAAAACCAAAAAAAATATATGAAATATATTGAGCATCATTGAGGCACAAGCCTGGATATGAGTTCTCTTGATTTGGGATGAATAGAAAATGTGATAACTTTACCACTTCACCATCTGGGAAAATAAAGCAAAAATAAGAAACAGTTGTCATACAAATAATGCAATGCATGATAATCCAGTAATTAATGTATAAATACCTAAAACTCACTTAATTATTCAGGTCCCACTGGAGCAGATGATGAATTTATAATGCATTTTAGAAATGACTTTATATTATAAAGCATTAATTCTGTTTAAAATCTGCAATCTCATGTTAAATCTAAAACTTGCAACCCTATACTAATTCACATCTAGTTCATCATTTCATTTAAATTAAGTTTTCCTGTGTTATCCCAAAATTACGCAATGAATATGAATGATATTTATGTTATTTAATTCTACAAAAAGTGTCTAATACACGTTTATTGAATAGAGTTTTTAATGCCCCCATACAATGAAACATTGTTCATTCACAATATGCTCAAGTCATTTGGTCATTCTGATAGGGTGCCCACAATTTGTAATAATAAAAACAAATGGGTAAAAGACACAAATGGCCAGGTTTCATTGCTTATGGTTTTGTGATTTGAAAGCCATATAAATAGTAATTATACCATACTATTATTTGCTATGCTAAAGGGAGCAGATGTGTCTTTTTAGTACAGGAAGGAGATATCTACTAATTTCTTCAAACTAATGAATCTGAGGAACACTGCAGTCTCCAAGTAGATAGATTAGCTATAGTTTATATAGACTTTTGTAATAAAAGATATATTATTAATAGACAAACATTCTCCAAAACATGCACACAAATTCAGATGCACACTTTAAATTATATTTACTCTTAATATTTTTTGTTTGGAGGATTTTGTATTTTAAGCCCCCACCGTAGCGAAGGGGGCATTAAGCTTTCCCCTTGTCCGTCTGTAGGTCCATCCGTACGTCAGTATGTCCCAAAATTGGTTTCCGTTCTTTAGCTTTAGTTTGCCTCAACCAAATGTTATGAAAATTATACACAATGCTTTTTACCACAAAACACAGAATAAATTTGAATTTTGGTGGCCTCACTTTTACCCTTCAAGAGTTATACCCCTTTACAAATAGAAAAATTTCTGAATTTTTCGTTTCCATTCTCTAACTTAAGTTTGTCTCAACCAAATGTTATGATACTTATACACAATGCTTATTACCACAAAACACAGATCAATTATGAATTTGGGTAGGGTCACTTTTACCGTTCTAGAGTTTTGCCCCTTTACAAATGGAAAAATTGCTGAATTTTTTGTTTCCGTTTTTTAACTTAAGTTTGCCTCAACCAAATATTGTGAAACTTATACACAATGCTTATTACTACAAAACTCAGATCAAGTATAAATTTGGGTAGTGTCACTTTTACCGTTCTAGAGTAATGTCGCTTTATAACGTTATATGCAAGCGGGGGCATCATCTGTGTCCCATGGACACATTCCCCATTTATTGTTAAATTTATTTAGTTGATGAGAAGTTGATGACAGAAAATGGCTACCCTTCATTAAAAATGTGTGTAAATTTACTAATAAAAAAATAAGGAGATGTGGTATGATTGCCAACAAGACAAACATCCACCAAAGTACATATGAAGTGGATGTAAGTTTCACAACCCAGAAAATCTGTCTTTGATGTATATACAAATACATGTATTCTAAAAAAATTTAAATCTTTATTTTGAAAACTGTACGAAGAGTTTTTACACAAAATGAGTTCCCTCAATTAATTTTAAAATCTGCAAAATATGCTGCCAAATGTGTGCATAATGTAAGATGTTCATCTTTATTGTTTATAAAAGTATTCTAGAAAGGCTGAGGATTTAAAAACAAAACTGGTGGAAGAGTTTATTACACAAAACAAGTATCCCCCCATCTATAACTGCCAGTTGATTAACTTTTATTCTTTGAGCGTCATGACAAAAACATTTGATGTAGTTCATCTGAAATTGCATTAAGTATTTGAAAAAAGTGTAGTAATGAAATTGTGCATAAAAATTTAATGCTTGCAAAACATTGTTAGTTCTTAAGGGAAGTTATTTGTCATGGCAGTAAGGTGTATCCAGCCTGTTTTACTTTCTAGGGAAGTTATTTGTCATTTTGTTTAAGCAGTAAGGTGTATCCAGCCTGTTTTACTTTCATTGTCTTTTTAACTTGCAGAAAGTCAGTCATACAATAATCAGATTTGTACTTTTACAATGGCTAACCTGTTTATTGTATAAAACCAAGATAGGGGTGGAGTATTCCTGGAGACTACAATAATTCAAAAATTTACAGAATGTTCACTTTTTTATGTAAAATCTGGACCATAAAGCAGTAAACTTTTGTCAGCCGTTGAGAAATTATAAGACAATATTTTACGCATATGTAAGTTTACTTTTAGATTAACTCTTGCATACGAATAGATAGCATCGGGGAGAGAATCCCATTGTTCATTTAGATTTAAATGATAAATGTAAATTTATCGTGTCGTCGTTAAAATTGTCTTGTGCTATACACAAATTTTGTATGAAAATGAATCCTGTGCCCTTGTTCCTTCAATTATGTTGTACATTTAGCCTCAGCTTTTTCCACCGTTTTTATCAAAATCTCGGTAGGAGATAGTTTTCATGTAAATTGATGATTAATTTCTTTCTAAAGAAAATTGCAAGTTCTGTACATGATTTTATTTAACAGGATTTTTATTTTTAAATGCACTTTTTTTTCTCAAATTATAAAGTAAAGGTAAATGTTCATATTTCTGATGTATCATGATATTTTAATGGTGAATACAAAAACATAATATACCAGTATGCAGTTTTAACTTTTGGATATATTTTTTCTTCAAATTAAGCTTTTGTTTGTTTGAGAATTAAAGGCGTGAAGACTGTCTATCTGCAACATAACAAATTGATAATAGCTATGAAGGCAGGCTTAGGGAACAATTCGTAGAATCTGTCAAGGCATAACACCACTCATTAACTTCTATGATTAGTTTTGTTAGAAACTTATTGGAGGCCATTTGAATTCCTATTAAATACTCTACAATAATGTTACAAACAATTTCCTTACTGTGTTGAAAGTGACAAGAACATTAATGAACAAAATGTTTAATATTTGTCAAAAATAATAGTTGTCTCTTTGAATTCTGGTTAATTATGAATAAAATAAGATGTGGATATATATCTGTGAGGCAGCAACCCATTGACATAAATACAAAAAAGACATCTAGAGGTCATCATACAGTCTTCAACAATAGGCAGGTGTCTATAGAATAGGTCCAGCTTTTAATCATCCCAGGTGTAAAAATAGGTTTGAATAGAACAGAGAATTTTTCAAAGTTCTACCAACACTAAATTCTGCAAATAAAAAAAAAAAAAACACCATAAACATATGCACATATACTGGCTGTTATTATAGATAATAATTTGATCATTTAAGAATCATAATTTAAATTTAAGAATTTTGATCAAAACAGGGTATTGTAGTATTAATTGGAATTCAAATTGCCTTTTGTAGGTTTCTTCATTTATTTAAATTTTTGTGTAAAAAGAAAGTTAATGAACATATTATTAAGATGAAAATAATGTAAAGTGGATGTTAAAAACATAATTAGCATATATATATCTGGAGTGTTTTAGGATCAAATCTGTTGGTTTGTATTAATAATATCTTATGAGATCTACTTACAATACAATCTTAGCTTTGCAATGTCTGTTAATATAATGCTACACATTATATTTGAACAAAATAAGCTTGAAGGAAGGAAGATAGGGACTTATGAAAGTTACTTAATTTCCTGTCAAAAGTTTCCCCTCCCCCATTACTGAAAATTTTGGTTTCCAGGTCAGAACTCGTGTTGCTTGGTTTCCTACAAAACTATAATGAAATTCAACTCATTTAGTGCTTTAGTGCTGTGGTTTTATCAGGTTAATAAATAGCTATTTTCAAGCGTAGTTGTTAACAAAGAACGGTCCTTCATCTAGTCAAATACTAACGTAATTTTAGAATTTGTGAGGATTTTTTCATAAGGAAGTCAACTTTTGCTTAGTAATTCTTGCTCTAGATTTATGTCCATTTGAATTAAACTGTATTAGATTTAAGCAAGATATCATTTGTATTAGTTACAGTTTAATACAAAAATGTTCAAAATTGTAAAATAATACTTCAATAATTTGTTCTGAAATACTGTCATTGTTTGTATATCTTGATCAAAAGATAAAGATTAAGGTGTTCATTTCATACAGGTAACTAACAAGGGAGGAAACTTTATCCTCTCAGGTGAGAGAGGGGGTAATCGACTGAAAACATACATGGATGGTCCTGAAACATGTTGCAACTCCATTGAATCTGCCATGTTTCAATTTTACATCATCACCGCTTCAATGAATTTGCCTTATATTGTATATTACATCATGTTGTTTCACAAACAATAAACAAACATCGTATTGTTTTGTGCTATGTTCATTCATAATAAAGACAGGTGTACAAATTGTTTTCATTCCAACCTACTGTCTTATATAAATACCTGCTGTTTGGTTTGTTTGAAACTTTTTGAACTCATTTATTACCTATTATGAGGAAATTCTTCATTAAAAAAAAATAATCAGGACACATTTAGTATGATTTCTATTTTAATCTTTCAGTTTAGCTAGAAAGACTTAATGTTGATCCAATGGTGTTGTGACTGTAACTTTGTCTTGATTGTACATTATGCAAGATGAAAGCCTGCTAGTTTTCATAACAATAATCTGTTACTTTTTAGTTTGACCTTCAAAATATATTAGAAACATAGAATCATAGTAAATAGTTACTTGTTTAAGTCTATAGGAGGTAGAGAATTCCAGTGTTGGGTTACCGCCTATACTTCTGAAGTACAGTAGACATGTGCCCCACTTGTCAGCAAGGTTAAATGTCTATTGATTACAATACATACATTAGAAGATAAGTATCAATTAGTTTTAATAAAGATGACATCATTTTAATTCTGTCTTTTGTGTCTTGTTGAATAAAATGTTTTAAATCACAGGGATAAAACAATCATCGTAGATCTACATGGTTTTATACAATACACAACTGATAAATATAGAGATATTGTTTGATGACCAATCAGTCAGATGTCGGACTTTTCATCTGTATGTTGATGACCCATCAGTAAAATATTGGAACGGGACTGTGGTCTGACTATCATAAAAG